CACGGTAGTGAGCGCCTGTAATCCCAGCTACTCAGAAGGCTGAGGCAGGAGAAACACTTGAACCTGGCAAGTGGAGGCTGCAGAGAGCCGAGATTGCACCACTGCACTTCAGCCTGGGCAACAGGAGCAAAAACACCATCTCAAAAAAAAAAAAAGAAAGAAAAGAAAAAGGAAAATGGGCAAAGGATCTGAATAGATGTTTCTCAAAAGGAGACATGCAGATGGCCAACAGGTCTATGAAAAGTGCTCAACATCACTAATCATCAGGGAAATGCAAATCAAAGCCACAATGAGACACCACCTCAAACCTGTGAGAACGGTGTAACAAGTGTTGGTAAGGATCTGGAGACAGGGAACCCCTGTGCAGTTTGTGACAGTATAAATTATTACGGCCATTATAGAAAACAATGTGGACGTGCCTTTAAAAATTAAACATAGAACTAACATACAGTCCAGCAATTCCACTGCTGCGTATACTGTTGACCCTCAAACGGCATGGGTTTCAACTGCACAGGTCCACTAACAGGTGGATTTTCTTCCACCTCTGCCACCCTGATACAGCAAGACCAGCCCCTCCTCTCCCTCCTCGTCCTCAGCTACTCAACATGAAGACGACAAGGATGAAGACCTTCATAATTATCCACTTCCACCTAATAAATAGTAAACAGATTTTTTCTTCCATATGATTGTCTTAATAACACTTTTCTCTAGCTTACTTCATTGTAAGAATAGAGTATAATACATATACAAAATATATGTCAATTGACTATGTTATCAGTAAGGCTTCTGGTCAACAGTAGGCTATTAGTAGTTAAGTTTCTGTGGAGTTAAAAGTTATATGTGGATTTTTGATGTCATGAGGTGTCAGTGCCCCAACCCTCACGCTGTTCAAAGGTCAATGATACATCCAAAGAAAATAAAATCAGACACCTGGAGCATTATTCAAAACAGGCAAGAGATAGCATCTGCCTAAGTGTTGACGGCAACAGATGAATGGAGAGAGAAAATGTGGTAGATACACACAACGGATATTGGCCTCAAAAATGAAGACAACCCTGCCGTTTGCAACAGCATGGGTAAACCTGGAGGACACTATGTTAAGTGAAATAAGCCAGGCACAGAAGGAGAAATTCCACATAATCTCACTTAAAAGTAGAATCTTAAAATGTTAAATGCAAAGAAACCAAGAGCAGAATGGTGGTCACCAGGGGCTAGGGAGTTGGGGACATTGGGGAGGTGTTGGTTAAAGGATTCCAAATTTCAGTTAGAAGGAATAAGTTCAAGAGATCTATTGTATACCATGGTGACTCAAGTTAATAACAATACATTATATACCTGAAAATTGCTAAAAGAGTACATTTTAAATTTCTAACCACACAAAATGGTAAGTATATGACATCATCCACGTTAGAGTTAGCCATTCCACATGTATGTGTATATCAAAACATGATGTATGCCATAAATATGTACAATTTTTGTCAACTTAAAAGATAAATTTTAAAAAGAAAATAAAGTCATTGATACTTGACAAGGATTGGCAAATCATAGCTCAGGTAAAGGAAGGGTAAACAAATTGAACGAAGCTTGCTATGTGAAATAATGAAATCTTTACGAAATCTCCATACCCTTCCATATTTTTTATTATTGTGGTAAAATACACATAAAATTTACTAGTTTAGCCATTTCTGAGTGCACATTCAGTGGCATTACATCCATTCACTCTGTTGTATCAACCATCACCACCACCCACCTCCAGAACTTGCTTCTTCCCAAATCTGAAACTCTGTCCTCATTAAGCACGAACTCCCCACTTTCCTCCCCCAAGCCCCTGGCGCCTCCATTCCACTTTCTGTCTCTGTGAATCAGGCTACTCCAGGGACCGCTAAGAAGTAGACTCATCCAGCATTTGTCCCTTTACATCTGGCTGATTTAACTGAGCACCATGTCCTCAAGGCTCGTCCATGTTGCACCCTGTGTCAGAATGTCCTTCCTTTCTCTGGCTGAATTACATTCTGCTGCGTGGATGAGCCACATTTTCTTCACCCGTTCGCCCATCAATAGGCGCTTGGGCTGATTCCACCTTTCAGCTGCTGTGAAAAACGGTGCTATGGTCATGGCCGTACAAATATGATGCTGTTTTCGACTTTAAATTTACATGTATTATTTCTGTCATGTTCATTTCTGGAACTGTGTTTATTAAAAGGATTACAATTGAATCACCTACTGTCTAAGGCCACTTTTCTGGCAATGTGAAGGTTTTTAAAGATAGACTCTTGCGATTTCCACAGTTCTGCTTCCTCCACTCCCTGCCCAGGCCACCCCTGAACATTCCACTCCTCTCTTACTTGGGAAAGTATCAGAAAACACCATACAGAAACCACTCAGCCACAAAGGGATTCGGTAACTATTTGCTACAAATAGAGAGGGTGCTCACCGCCAGGGAAGGCACCTCCAAGGAGCTCCAGGAGGTCAGGCCCACGGCTCTGTGCACCGCAGCTCCCCAGAGTGTAAAATGCGCAGCAGTGGTCCATCTGCCACAGGACCCTCCTGGCTCTCCAGGTGGTGCCAGTCTCAGCATCCTGCACTGCTGCCATGGGCTTCCTCCTGCAACCCTGGTATTTTCTGTGACTTCCTGACATTCATGACAAGGATTGTCTAAGTGTGGCTCCAGTACTGGGAAGGGTATGCAGGAAAGAGAGCTCTCCTATGCTGCTGGGGCACAGAAAACCAGACAGCACTTGGGTGACTGGCTCAGGAATGCTTGGTCAAGCTGAAGTGCACACACCAGCGACCCGCAGGTTCAGGCCTGCCCCTGGGATCCTCCAGTGCTTGTGTCTGAGGAGTCAGGAGGCACAGACTGAGATCCCAAATCCGAAAATCCAAAACCTGAACTCCTCCAAAATCCGAAACTTTTTGAGTGCTGATGTGATTCTCAAAGGAAATGCTCATTGCAGTATTTTGGATTTGAGATGCTTGACTAGTGAAAAATAATGCAAATATTCAAAAATCCCAAAAAAGATCTGATACCCAAAACACTCCTGATCCCACGAATTTCAGATAAAGGATGCTTAATCTGTACTTTTGGGAAAAAGAGAAAACAATTTAATTATCCAACAACAGGAGATGGGTAAGTGAGTGCAGGTTCATCTGGAATCCTGAATTACCATTGAAGCAAAATGAACTACAAAGAACATAACAAAAACCAACTTGGAGAAGTCTCAAAATTACGGTGATCTACATGGAGAAAGTTTGTTGCAAAAGTATACATAAGAAATGATAAAAGTGTTGAACACACAAAGAATACCCTAGCTGTCACATGGATACATGAAGAGGGGGGTGGGGGGCTGGTAACACTCTCTTCCATCTGGGGCCACACAGGCAACCCCTCTTTGCTGTCTGTGTAATGGTACACACACCCCTAACTTGATAATAAAGTGCAGACAGAGCCATAAACATCATACAGCAACACAGATGACATGTAAAAATAGGCTGAGGATGAAGGAGGAGCAGCCCAACTTTAGAAGAACAGTCAACACTGTAGGTAGGGAGAGGAGGAATGGAGGATGCAACCTCAGTGTAGATGATGCTTTCGAAAATATAGTATTTCTATACACATATGGGAAACATACATGTGAGTTATGGGGAAGGGGGAAGCACTAATTCCTTCTTTCTCCTCCTAAAGTGAGACCACACCCTCCTGTCTAACTGCAACTGTAGACTGTAAATTACAAATCAGTGCATTCAGCAGCCAACAAGAATACTATGTTTCTCCGCGTGGAGCTGGTCTTTGGATTTGCTAGTTATGCTGAACATAACTGGCAAATAAACTAGTTTTATTAATGGGGAAAATTCAGAGCCCAAGAGTAAGGAGTACATATATGAACCATAACAACAACTTGTATTAAAGATAACATTTCAGCTGGTCATGGAGAATCACATCTATAATCCCAGCACTTTGGGAGGCCAAGTTGGGAGGATCACTTGAAACTAAGAGTTCAAGCCAGCCTAGGCAACATAGCAAGACCCTATCTCTGCAAAAAGAAAAAAAGAAATAAAAAAATTGGCCAGGCATGGTGACATGCGCCTGCAGTTCCAGCTACTCAGGAGGCTGAGGCAGGAGGATCACTTGGGCCCAGAAGTCTGAGGGTACAGTAAGCTGATGCCCCCTGCACTCCAGCCTGGGCAACAGAGTAAGTTCCCCTCCCTAAAAAAAAACAAAAAAACAAAAAAATATGAAACGAAACCAAAAAAGAGAGAGAGAAAATTTCTTAGGACTTATCACAGAAGCTTTTACACTTCATGGTATCTGAACAGTCTAGTAAGTCAGCAACAGGAAAGTGAATTCTACAAAACATCGAGATAGCTCACATGTACATAAATACATGCATATAATTCTAGATATATCATAAATACACAAAGTCTACAATGTGACGTACATATTTGAGCAAGATACCAGAGGTACTGAGATGGAAGTCACCGGTTTAAGCTGTGCAAATCAATGCTTTTAACATATTCGCAGAGTTCTACAACTATTACCACCAGCATTTTAGAACATTTCATCACCCCAACATGAAACCTTAAACCCATCAGCAGTCACTCTCTGTACTCCCCCAACAGCCCCCCACCCAGGCCCTGGCAACACGAGCCTCCTTTGTGTTTCTACTGGTTTATCTATTCTGGATCATTCATATCCATGGAATCACACAATATGAGGCTTTTTGTGGATGGCCTTTTCTACTCGACATGGTATTTTCAGGGTTCATCTGCACTGGAGCGAGTGTCAGGCTCTCGTCCCTTTGCAAGGCGGAATAACGTGCCATTATGTGCATGGATCACACTTTCTTCACCACCCATCAGCTGATGAGCCAGATAGTTGTTATGATTTTGTTCTAGAGTAAGGGTTCTGCATTTTAGATGACTCTAAACAAAGTCAACTCTCTGCCCCAGCCATGAAGTTTCCTTCCTCCTGCAGGAGGGAACTTAAAGGCCTCCCCACTCACCTTCTCCTCCGCAGACCTGAGCACACTGGAGACCGCCTCCACCGCCAGCTCCAGGGGCTGCTGCCGTGGGTCCTCCTCGAAGGACAGGAAAGGCGGGCCCTGGAACAGAGGGGCAGCATGAGGAGGGGCATGCACAGGAGGGGCTGCACCTTTTAAATTACATATCTGTGTAAAGTTCCGAAAAATTAAGAAACTGCACTAATACATCTTTCTGTTAACTCTGTGCTTCTAAATAGCAGCGATGGTTAAAATATCAGTAGGTTTGCACCTCCGAGGAGCAGCTGGTGATGGTTGTGCTCAGTGGGCAGGGTTCAGCTATGGGAGAAGGCGGGGAAAGGACAGGAACCCAGGAATGAACCTGAAGTTGCCACAGGAAGGCAGCGAAGGGTGTTTTGAATCCTCCTGCTGACAGCATAAGGAAAAAAACACAGACTCTCAGGGTAGAGCCGCTTCCTGCACATCAGTGGATCAGTGGGTCTAGCAGGACACCTGGCCCAGCACAGAGGGCTCTGGGCTGTGTCCTCCCCGAGTCCTAGGGACAGTCCTCTACTCTGCTCTGGAAGTCACCACTCCCTGTTGTGTGTGGTTGCTGTGGCACGGTTACTTAGGGTGCCCCCCATTCTCCTCTCCTAGCCCCCAGGGGCTGGCCTCTCCCTGGGATCTGAGAGGGTAGACAAGATTCCTTGGCTAGAAATGTGCGCGCTTAGTGGCTGCCCACAGAGCAGACGCCTTGGCCCCTACTTCTCAGCCCTCTGGAGCCACCTGGCCCTGAGGTTCACCTTTGCCCTTGGCTCTGCATGTCCCCCCAGCCTCCTTCCAGGAAACTCAGTCAGCTCATGTCTGTTCTGGTTCTTGCAATTAAAAATCTCCAAGCAAGGCCGGGTGTGGTGGCTCACACGTGTAATCCCAGTACTTTGGGAGGCCAAGGCAGGCAGATTGCTCAAGGCCGGCAGTTTGAGACCAGCCTGGACAATATGGCAAAACCCTGTCGCTACCAAAAATACAAAATTAGCCGGATGTGGTGGCACACACGTGTAATCCCAGCTGCTCAGGAACCTGAGGCATGAGAAGCATGTGCCCCCAGGAGGCAGAGGTTGTATTTAGCTGAGATCACCCCCCAGACTGGGTCTCAAAAAGAAAAGAAAAAAATGCAAACAAGAGATGTGCAATTAAATGAACCGGACCACAAGGCAACAAGACCAGCACTTTATAACAAGGAAACCAGGGTTTACGTGGCCGGCCAAGTCCTGTCCTTTCAAAACGAAGCCCTTGAGAAGCCAAATGTGTATGCCAACAACACAGCCCTGGATCAAACTCCTTGAACTCTGCTCCTGATGTTCTGTAGAAAGCACGTCACGTTTAAGTAAGCTCTGACTGAGTGGTTAAAACCATGCAGCCCCAACGCTCCCATTGCATTCCATCCCATCTCCACCGTGGTGAGCTAGGTCCAGCTACGAGGCTGACCAAGGGTGGGACAGGGGAGGTGGTGTAAAACTGCGCCGCGGAGACTCCACCAACACGGTGCAAGTGAGCGAGCAATGAGGTTATGCTGTGACTAATTCTCGAGAATTCCCAATAACCACAAGTAAACCTAAAAGACAGAACGTTTTGATTTATACACTTCCAACCTCACCCTGTTCGTGCACTATCTACCTCATCCCCAAAAAATCAGCAGAGAATTAAATGTACTGCTGGAGAGGGATGAAATCACGGTTTCAGGACTGCTCTTCTGGCATTCTCTCTGGTGGGAATTTGTTTGGGTGGGACCTGCTGGCCAGGACCACGCTGTGAGCTTGGTGATGAGACAGTTCTGTGCACCTGGCCCTCTGGGCCTGAGAGAACAGAGCCCAGCACAGAGGCCAGTGCCAGGCAGGGAACCATGAGCAGGCAGCATGCCAGCGCTTGGAGGATGGAGTGGAGAAACTGTACTTTCTATAGTAGCCTAAAGATACAACGTTGCCTTACACCAGCCTGGGTGCAGACACATGCTCCCCTGGGCAGCAGATGAAGTGTTTACCCTCCTCCCTTGCTACCTTCTGAATTCAAACCTGGAAAAGAGTTTGCTGGGAATCTTAAGGTCAAGGGGTGGTCCCACAAGGAAAATAAGTTATTAAGAGAGAATGCTTTTCCTTTCCTGATCTGCCTAGTCCTTGAGTTTCAGGAGCAGGGCGTACTTGCCTGCCACACAACCACAAATTCAGGCATCTCTGCATCTCTGCTGCTGTGTCAATGCTGAGAGGACCCTCATTCCAGACCCCATTCCACTTAGACTAAAGGAAGATTTAATGTCCACATGGAAAAAGAAACACACAAGAATTGCCAGGAAAACACTGAAAAAGGAAAACAGGGTGACTAGCCCCACCAGATATTAAAACACACTATAGAAACCCCATAATTAAAACTGTGTGGCTCTAGTACACCAACAAACACATGCACTACAAATGAACAATATAACCATCCTGAAGGGGATGGGAAAAGACAGATACAACCTAAGAAACCTGGAAAACTGTATCTTGACTGCACATAAATGCTGTAATCCAGTAAATGTGTTTCATGGGTTGGGAACTCAGAAACTACTTTATGCATATACTAGAACTGAACACATAAGTAGGAAGTAAATAAGACAGCAGGTATCCCATGACCTACTCTTGAAGAAGGGAGTTAAGAATAAGAAAGGGAAACTACTAAAATGAACTCTGTACCATTGGACTAGAGGTACAGGATACAATCAGTTTTGAAGATAAACATAAAGAGAAATACACAGAAATACAGACGTGTGCACATGTGTTAGTATACACATGTATGCTTGCTATTACTGAATACTGAAAGGGAGCAATAAGAACCTAGCAGTAATGAACACACACAATGCCTAGGTCTTGGTTTCTAAACACTTCTCCAATAAAAGGAATCAGGGCCGCTTGAAGAAGTGGGTGAATCCAGGGCTGGGGAGGAGAAAATACAAGATGAGCCAAAAACAAACATTTAGTGGAAACATAAAGTAAGGAAATGAAAATAAATAGTGGGCTTGATGGAAGAACGAAGAGGCTGCTCTCAAAGGAGCACCGTGATGGCCCAAAGGAGAACAACTTCAGCGGCTGCTTCGGTTTGGCTCTGTTTGTAACCCCACGTGTCAAGGGAGGGACCTATAATCCCCACCTGCAGGGGGAGGGAGGTGAATGGATCATGGGGCCGTCTCCCCCATGCTGTTCTCATGGTAGTGAGTGAGTTCTCACAAGATCGGATGGTTTCATAAGCATTTGGAAGTTCCTCCTTACTTCTTCTCTCTACTGGCGCCTTGTGAAGAAGGTCCCTGCTTCCCCTTCCACCATGATTGTAAGTTTCCTGAGGCTTCTCCAGCCATGTGGAACTGTGAGTCAATTAAACAGCTTTCCTTTATAAATTACCCCCTCTCAGGGAAGTTCTTCACAGCAGTGTGAAAACAAACTGATACAGCAATATAATAAATAGTGATAGTACTGGACTATAACCCACAGAATAAATATCCATGAGTCCATGCTGAGCTGAACAATCAGATAAATATCTCACTGGAGGAGAAATGATGGTTCTCTCTTGCAGTAGAGTTCCAAATAATAAAGACAGGAAGGAAGAGGAAACAGAAAGTCACCATCAAGTGAGCTGCAGCTAAGTCACCGCTACAGACAGGATACACTGATGGTTGGAAAATCAATGAGGAAAAGTTTGAGGCACAGTGGGATCCGTGCAGGCTCAAAGTATCTCCCCACACTACCTGTTAGCCACAGCAGGAAAGACATAAGGAGGTGACGTGGTGGGGATCTGCATCCCCGCCCAAATCTCAGGTCAAACTGTAATCCCCAGTGTTGCCAGAGTGGCCTGGCGGGAAGAGACCGGATCATGGCAGGGGCAGTTCTCCTGAATCGTTTAGCACCATCCCCGCTTGTACTGCACAGTGAGTGAGTTCTCATGAGATCTGGTTGTTTAAAAGTGTACAGCACCTCCCACCTTTTTCTCTCCCTCCTGCTCTGGACCATATAAAATGAACCTGCTTCCCCTTCACCTTGCACCAATCATGGTGGATTCATGTAAGTTTCCTGGGGCCTCCCCAGAGGCAGAACTTGCCATGGTTCCTTACAGCCTGCAGAACCATCAGCCAACTAAACCTCTTTTCTTAGAAACGACCCCGTCTCAGGCATTACTTTCTGGCAATACGAGAATGGACTAATACAGGAAGATACATAAAATACATGAGGATGATCCCAGCAGAACTCAACCAAGTCACCACACCCAGCATCCACTGCAACAAGACACGCTGACATCACAAGCCCCATACACGGTGCACGCCACTTCTGTGGTTTGTATAACCTCACTCCAATCATATGGAAACACTAGACAAATGGAAAGACGGTCAGCAAAATAATGATCAATAGTCTTCAGTTATCAAGGTCATAAAAAACAAAGAAAGACAGAGAAACCCTGGCAGACTGCAGGTGATGAAGAAGTCACTCAATGCGGCAGGAACCCTCAACAGGACCCTAGAATGATAAAAGGAGACAAGTGGAAAACTGGTGAAATGCAAAGAAGGCCTTTGGTTTAGTTGTTAGGCATTGTGACAATGTTAATTTCTTGAACTATTACATTAATCTCATTGTCTTATGAATCATAGTAACATGGTACCAATGTTAATTTCTTGGTTCTGATCATTGAGCTGTGGTTATGCAAGGCTGAGTGAGGAACATATGAAAACTGAATTACTTTTTTCAACTTTTCTGTGAAAGCAGTTCAAAATAAAGTTTAAAAAAGAAGACTTTAAAGAGAGCAGCCCACCTTTATTGACTCACTAAGTGCCAGGCATTTTGTAAATGCCTCACACAGGTCTGATCTCACCTCCAGGAGAGTAGATTTTGTTTCTGGATTGAATTCAAAGTTATCCCTTCTACAGACGATGCACAGAGACTCTCCCAGGATCGCACAGCGGGGAGTGCAGAACTGGAGCACAAGCAAACCTGCACCCAACTCCAGAGCTTCCCCACGGGCTAAAGTACCCTTCTTCCTCAGCAACCTGGCAGGAGCCCTCGGGAGTGGAAGTTAGCTTTGGCTGAATTTTAGTTGATGTGAACACTACACCCACACTTTCCTGAATTCCTGTCTTGTTGGGAGAATGGGTGAGTGCAAAGAACAAGCTGAACTGGGGCCTATTCCTGGGTTTTGCATTGATGACTTGCAAAGCCATCAGAGCTTCCTTTAATGTTGATTCTTTAGAAGTGAAAAACAAAGCACATTAAACAGCTTGTATTGCCCAGGCCTGGCTGGTTCCCAAGACAGAAGGCCTGAGTCCAGATGGGGTAATGGGCATCACCACTGTTTCTCCCAGCCAGGGACCCATCATTCACCCCACTGCGCCCAGGGCCTGCCCAGAGCCGGCTTTGTGCTGGGCACTGGGTCTGGCTCTGCCCAGACAGCCCCTGGCTCTAACCCAGCTCACAATGCCGGGAGCTGACCAGGGCATAAGTTACTCTGGGGGGTTGGGAGAAGGGCAGGGCAGGGAGCATCCTGGCTGAAGGGGACGATCAGGGACCTCTGAGCTGAGACCCAAAAGATTTAGAGAAGTTAAATAAACAGAAAAGAGATAAGAATCTTAAACAAAAGGAATGACCTGCGGGAAGGCATCATATAGGAAAGGTCCCTGGACACGAGCAACAGAAGGGTCCCCGGTGGAGGGTGCCGGGTTTATAGCCCCAAAGCGGTGCACGTTACTTCTACTGGCAGAGGGAAGGCATCCCGCAGTAGCGGTCACAGTTCTGCCAACCGGCTTCCTACATCATGGCCACCGTCATTGGTCAAGGAGTTTGGACTCTGTGAGCATGACTGGAAGGTCATTACAAAGATTCTGAAGTCTGGTGGCCACTTTGTTTACTTTTTAAATACAGAAACTCCTATTCAAGTCAGTGCTATTAATAACATGTTCCAAGTTCACACGGCATCTTTTTTTTTTTTTTTTCCCCACAAAGACTGCAAATTGTTTAATAGTCTTGGTCATCTGCATTTAGAACATTCGTCTAAAGAAATCCTGGGCTGAAGGACTAAAGAAATAAACAGCGTTGGGGACCCTCCTAGTCCGGGGCCTCATCCCACTCTGGTGGGCCACTGCTAGATAAGCCCAGATTCAGGCCACAGAACATGGGCCTCACTTCAGGACGGGGGCTGCCCACATGTGGTCTAGACGGCATCAGCCTTGGGAGGAGTGCTGTGCGGCCCACGGGCGGGGGCCACTGCTGCAAGCGTGCCACTCCCAGAGTCAGGAGACTGTGGGACAGCAGTCCCGGAAACTTCCAAGCAGGTGTCGGGGGTATAACTGATCATCATGGACCACTTTGTAAATGTTGATGTATTCGCAGGGTAGCAAAAGGAAAATCTCAGCTGGTGCTTTCAGATGCCATATTAGTTCTCAGTCTAAGGAGCCTGACCTGAGACTGCGCCAGTTCTGGGATCTTCTGTTCTCTGTGACCAAAGAGCCATCTCATCAGTGGGAATTAGGTGTCTGCAACACCAGACCAAGCAGAGAGGCAAGTGTCAATGCTAAAACAACCGCTTTTAGGTGGTGCTGGGTGAAAGAGGAACTCTGATGGACAGCAAGTGTATGCTAGCAGCTTCTTACCGGTGATTCTCAATCCATGGGGCACCCTCGTGTCCCCCCCAGGCCTACTCAGGCAGATGTAGGGGCAGGAATGGGTGCTGCTAAGCTCTCTGGGTGAGACTCTGGTGATCCCTGTCCGCCTGGCATCCACCTGGCCGGTCAGCAGATCAGCAATGGTTTCCCCTGACGTCAGTGCAAACCACTGTCACATATAATTCAGAACCCTTTCTGGAATAAGGGTGGGAACCTGAGGTCCTTGCAACATGGGAGCTGTGCTGCTGTGGTGGTAATCAGAGAGCAGGAGAATCCTCAGAGAGCACAGGGACTCCTCCGGAGCTGACCAGTCCTTGGGTCCCAGGAGGCGTGAGCCACTGTTTGGGATAACACATTAACAACTTGACTCTCTGAGGCCTTCTTGCTGGCTCTCATTTAAAGGAAATATTTGGGTCTCCAAGTTGAAACTGCTTCCCACAAAGGAACAGGCTGCAGCCACGGATGGGCAGACCTCGGCAAATCCCTCTGGCTCATGGGCTTCAGTCGCCCCTTCTAGTGAAGGAAGGGGCTTTGGCTAGGAGACTTTTTAGGGTTTCTTTCCATCTTAAAATACAAAGCTGGGATAAAACTTGGAATGGGAGGAGTTATCGTCTCCACTGGATAGAAAACTCCACTTTTCACAGAGAATGCTGGGTGTGATTAAGTTATTACCAGTGTTTTCTCAATCCCTAAGCGACAGGCCAGCATCCTCCCTGGGTAGGACAGAGTGATATGAGGACAAGGCAGAGGCAGGAGGGGGAGCACTAAGCTGTGGCTCTCTGGGCAGGCGGGCGGGCGAGAGCGGGCTTGGAGTGTCAGCCCTAATCCGAGATTAGTAGGAATCGAGGTGGGGGAGGGCAACAAGAAGCTCCTGCCAGAGTCAGGGCGGCCATGAATGCACACAGCAGCCCCTGCTCTCCCACACTGCCATCGCTGTCACCACAGTGATGGCCCAGGACGTTGGGAAGGTATGTGACAAGTGCCGGAGTCAGGGCGGCCTGGAATGCAAATACCACCACCTGCTCACCCACAGTGCCATCGCCCACACATAGCAGTGTGGCTCAGAATGCTGGGAGGGTGTGCGACCTTCACTCACAGGAGCCCAGTCACCCAGATCCTATCCGCCTGCAAAACCTTCCATTTGAATGCAAATGAAACGACATTCCCAGGCATCAGGGCTGTGTCCCCCGCCCCCAGAAAGTAAGCAATACCAACAACTGATGTCCCAGAACTGATGGACTATGTCCATGCAAAAATGCCAGAGATGTCCCTGGGCTGGGACACTACTGCCTCTTCCAGGCAGGAGGTCAGGAGAGATTGGTGGCTGAGACTGCAGCATGTGGCCCACAGCAGAGAGGGAACAGAGGAGGCGCAAACACGCCGAGACCCTCTCTCCTCTCCCTGAATGCAAACCCTCCCTGCTCGCACACAAAAACTCAGGTAAAAAGTTTTCATCCAAAACTTTCAAATATTTCCTTCTGTGTTCTCAGACTGACTTGAGCAGCCCAAGACAGATGCCAGGGTGGGGATGTCCTCTCCTCTGCCTCTCGCCCTTCAGGCATATGCGAATATGGAAGGATCTTCTCCAAGGTGATCACATTTTCTGAGGCCAATGAAGAGATGTCAGGAAAAGAACCAACTCACATATACAGGAGGTAGGGTCACTGCCTCCGAGCCCGAAACTCCAAAGTCAGAAGCAGAACTTACAAGTCATTCCCACAAAGGACAGAGATGAGATCTGTGCCCAATCACGCCACCAGCCTGCAGAGGATTCAGCCTCAGAATCCAGGCCTTGATACCAGGTCAGTCAGGGGTTGGTGATGGCAGCTTCCCGGAGAAATACCTGTATTTGCTCCTGGATGTGAGGACAACAGCGCTGGAGGGCTCGCAAAGAGACATCTGGTTTCCCTGAGAAGCTATCCAGCACTAGACAGCTGAGGCACAGATTCTGGGGACCAGGACAAAAGTCAGCCGACTGCCCCTGAAGCCTTTTTTCATCCAAAAGGTATAGTCATTTATTTTCTTTTTCAAGAGTTCAGAACAAGGTCTCTTGATGTGCTGGCTGCATACTGACATTCAAAGCTTTTTTGTTTTTTAACTTCCATGGCCATGTCTTCCAAGGCCATGGCACAAAGACCAAGCACAGGGCGGCCCACCATGGAATATTCTGAAGGTTGATGGGTTCGGATATTCAAAATTAGCAATTTTGCTATTTCTACAGCGAATGACCACTGAGCTGCAAACACAGGTGCAGGAAACTGTGTCCTGGAACACCTAGAGCAGTGGCCAAGACCACAGGCCTCCCCAGACCCACCGAGGCTCCAACCCCTCCTGTGAAATGCCCGAGGACAGTAGACGCCAGAGCTTGGCATTAAACTAAGATGTCTTCAAAGCAAAAATAAGTCACCAAGTAATCAGCGGCTATGGGAACACCCACAGGACTGTGAGGCCGCAGAGGTAAGAGAGAGGCCCTTCACCTGCAGGCCAGGGCCACTGGGCGCCAGCTCTGCAGCCCACAGGCTCTGTGGCCTTGGGCAGGCTGTTTGCCTTCTCCGGGCCTCGGTTTCCCCATCTGTAAAACCGTCGTAACACCCATGTCGTAGGAGTTTTGAGGACTCAGAGGTGGCAGGCGCACCGAAAGCCCCAGTAGGATGTCTGCCCAGTGACTGGCCTCCAGCAAATGATCAGTATTTTTATATAACAAGAAGTGCAAGTCTTTGGAGATAAATTCTTGGTGAAATTCAGCTCTGCGAGAGGAGGGAGCACATTGGGGTCAGAGCTATTCACGTATCAGGTGCAAGCTCAGTACGTGTCCTATAGGGCACTGGAATTGGCCCCGGACTCCAGGCAGGCAGGTACCGGCTGGCGCGGTACCGGCGGTCCCTCCAGCCGTCAGCCTGTCCCCCGCGGAGCCCAGGGCCTGGCGCACCTGACGTCTGGGGAATAAAATCCATCACTTTGGTCTCCCGTCAAGGGTCCTGGTTCCCCCGTCTCTCTCCTAACTCTCATGGATGCTCGGCGCTGCGGGGAGGACTCACTTCGCCTCGGTCAGGGGCTGCAGCGACGCCTCCAGGAGACAGCTCTGCCCGGCCCGCCCGCCCCGGCCTCGGCCACCCCCGGCCCGCAGTCCCGGAAACTCACCCCTTTCCTCTCGGCCTCCTCGTTCAGGGCGGTCACCCAGGCCGCCTGCCACTGGCTCCTCCAGCTGCCCAGCGTCAGGATCCAGGACAGCAGCGCGTCGGACCCCCGGCGCGGCCCCTCGCCAGGCTCCAGCGCCGGCCGCCGTAGCTGGGGTCGCACCCTGGCCAGCGCCCACTGCGCCAGGTACAGGCCCACCGTGGCCAGGGCCGCGACGAAGAGCGACACCAGCGCGAGCCACTGCACCTCCCCGAGCCACGAGCCCAGCCGGGCCAAGGCCATGGTGCATCCCCGGCCCGCCTCGCCCCAACTTCCCCGGCAGCCCCGGGCGCGGGCGGCGGGCTCAGGATACGCTCTGGTTGCGGCCGCGGCGCGCGGGGGGCGTGGAGGGGGCGCGGCGGGGCCGGAGCCCAGCGAGGAGCGCGGCCCGGGGCCTCCGGGCGGGGCGGAAACGCGCGGCGGCCGGGGCTGGGCGCAAGCCCCGCACACCTGCGGAACAGGGGCGCGAGCTGACCCCGCGGCCGGCGCTCCCGACTCGGCGTCTGGGAAGTTCCCGGGCCGCGGCCGGGCTCGCTTGCTCCTGCGCGCCGCCCCGGGCGTCCCGCCCGCGGCCCAGCGGTGGCCGGAGGAGGCTCGGGCCGCGGGGCGGGGCGGGGCGGGGGCGGGGCCGGAGGGAGGGGCGGGGCCGGAGGGAGGGGCGGGGCCGGAGGGAGGGG